AACCAAGAATGAGAATTACACACCAATCTCATTCATGAACATCGACGCAAAAATTCTCAATAAAATACTGGCAAACTGAATCCAAGAACACATCAAAAAATTATTCATTATGATCAAGAAGGCTTCATCCCAGAGATGCAGGGCTGGTTCAACATATGACAATCTATCAATGCAATCCATCATATAAATAAACTGAAAGAAAAAACCATATGATCATTTCATTAGATGTGGAAAAAGCATTTGACAAAATTCAATACCCCTTTATGATAAAGGTCTTGGAGAGATTAGGGATACAAGGTTCATGCCTAAATATGATAAAAGGTATATACAGCAAGCTGACAGCTAACATCAAATTAATTGGAGAGAAACTTAAAGCATTTGCATAAAATCAAAAACAAGGCAAGTCTGTCTACTCTCTCCATACCTCTTCAACATAGTTCTTGAAGTCTAGCAATAGCAATAAGACAACGTAAGTAGATCAGGGGGATTTGAATCAGAAAGGAAGACGTCAAACTCTTGTTATTTGCAGATGATATGATAGTGTACATAAGTGACCCCAAAAACTCTACCAAAGAATTCCTACAGCTGATAAACACCTTTTGTAATGTGGCAGTATACAAGATCAACTCCAAAAAATCAGTAGCCCTCCTATACACAAAGAACAAAGAAGCAGAGAGGGAAATCAGAGAAACTTCAACTTTCATGATAGCCACAAATAGCATAAAGTATTTTGGGGTAACTCTAACCAAGGAAGTGAAAGATCTATTTAACAAGAACTTTAAGTCTTTGAACAAAGAAATTGAAGAGGACACCAGAAAATGGAAGGATCTCCCATGCTCTTGGATTGGTAGGACCAATATAGTAAAAATGGCAATTGTAGCAAAAGCAATCTATAGATTCAATGCAATCCCCATCAAAATCCCAACAAAAATCTTCACAGACCCTGAGAGAACAATAATCAATTTTATACGGAAAAACAAAAAACTCAGGATAGTCCAAACAATCCTATACAATAAAAGTACTTCTGGTGGCATTACCAACCCTGACCTCAAATTCTATTATAGAGCTACAGTAATGAAAACAGCTTGGTATTGGCTTAAATATAGAGATGTTGACCAATGGAATCAAATCAATGACCTGGATATTAATCCACACACCTATGAACACCTGATTTTTGACAAAGGAGCTAAAATTATACAATGGAAGAAAGAAAGCATCTTTAACAAATGGTGCTGGCATAACTGCATGTCAACCTGTAGAAGAATGAAAATAGACCCTTATCTATCACCATGCACAAAACTCAAGTCCAAATGGATTAAAGACCTCAATATTAATCTGACCACACTGAACCTGATAGAAGAGATAGTGGGAAGTAGTCTGCAATACATGGTACACAGGAGATCAGTTCATACGTATAAACCCAGTAGCACAGATAATAAGAGCAACAATGAATAAATGGGATCTCTTAAAACTGAGAAGCTTCTGTAAAGCAAAGGACACTGTCATTAAGACAAAAAGCAACCTACTGAATGGCCTGATCTCCAAAATATATAAAGAATCAAGAAACTACACATTAAATTTCTGAATAACCCAATTAAAAATGGGGTACTGAACTGAACAGAGAATTCTCAACAGAAGTTCAAATGGCCAAAATATACTTAAGGTCATGTTCGACTTCCTTAGCGATCAGGGAAATGCAAATCAAAACAACTTTGAGATACCATTTTACACTTGTCATAATGGCTAAAATCAAAAATACCAATGGTAACCTATGCTGTAGATGATGTGGGGTAAGGGGAATACTCATCCATTGTTTGTGGGAATGCAAACTTGTGCAACCACTTTTATAAATCAGTGTGGTGTTTTCTTAGGAAACTGGGCGTTAACCTACCTCAGGATCTAGCAATACCACTCTTGGAAATATACCCAAGAGATGCGAAATCATACTACAAAAGCATTTGTTTAATTATGTTCATAGCAGCAGTATTTGTAATAGCCAAGAACCTGGAAACAACATAGGTGCCCCTCAACTGAAGAATGGATAAATAAGGTGTGGCACATATACTTATTAGAGTTCTACTCAGTGGTAAAAAAAAAAAGACATTTTGAATTTTGCATGCAAATGGATGGAAATAGAAAACACTTTACTGAGTGAGTTGACCTAGACCCAAAATGAGGAATATGGTATGTATTTACTCATTAGTAGATTCTAGCCATAAACAAAGGACATTGAGCCTATAGTTCATGAGCCTAGAGAAGCTAAATAATGAGGTGAACTGAAATAAAAGCATATATTTATTTTCTTGGATATTGGAAGTAGACAAGATCGCTGGGCAAAAGTTGGGAGCATGGGTGTGGGGGTAGGTTGGGGAGAAGGGGAGATGGGGAGAGAAAAGGGAGAAGAGGAGGATTGGGGAGAGTTTTGGGGAATGGGATGTTTGAGATGGAGGAAGGGTGGATATGGGATCAGAGAAGAAGATATCTTAATTAAGGGAGCCATTTTAGGGATGGCAAGAAACTTGACTCTAGAGGTGTCCCCAGGTGTCCAAGAAGATGTCCCCAGCTAAGTCCTTGGGCAGGTGAGTAGAGGGTGCCTGAATTGGCATTCCCCCATAGCCACACTGATGTATATCTTGCATATCACCATAGAACCTTTATCTGGTGATGGATGGAGATAGTGACAGAGACCCACATTGGAGCTCCCAAGGTCCAGATGTGAAGCAGAAGGAGGGAGAACATGAGCTAGGAAGTTAGCACTGCAAGGGGTGTGTCCACCCACTGAGACGGTGCTCCTGATCTAACGGGAGCTCACCAAGGCCAGCTGGACTGGGACTAATGAGCATGTGATCAGACTAGACTCTCTGAAATTGTCTGACAATGAGGGCTGACTGAGAAGCCAATGATAATGGCACTGGGTTTTGTTTTTTTTTTTTAAAATTTATTTATTAAAGATTTCTGCATCCTCCCCGCCACCGCCTCCCATTTCCTTCCTCCTTCCCCGATCAAGTCCCCCTCCCTCATCAGCTCGAAGAGCAATCAGGGTTCCCGTACGTGTGGGAAGTCCACGGACCACCAACCTCCATCCAGGTCTAGTAAGGTGAGCATCCAAACTGCCTAGGCTCCCCCAAAGCCAGTACGTGCAGTAGGATCAAAAACCCATTGCCATTGTTCTTGAGTTCTCAGCAGTCCTCATTGTCAGCTATGTTCAGCGAGTCTAGTTTTATCCCAGGCTTTTTCAGACCTAGGCCAACTGGCCTTGGTGAGTTCCCGATAGAATATCCCCAGTGTCTCAGTGTGTGGGTGCACCCCTCGCAGTCCTGAGTTCCTTGCTCGTGCTCTTTCTCCTTCTGCTCCTGATTTGGACCTTGAGATTTCTGTCCGTTGCTCCAATGTGGGTCTCTGTCTCTGTTTCCTTTCATCACCTGATGAAGGTTAATATTCAGGAGGATGCGTATATGTTTGTCTTTGGGTTCACCTTCTTATTTAGCTTCTCTAGGATCACGAATTATAGGCTCAATGTCCTTTATTTATGGCTAGAAACCAAATACGAGTGAGTACATCCCATGTTCCTCTTTTTGGGTCTGGCTTACCTCACTCAGGATAGTGTTTTCTATTTCCATCCATTTGTATGCAAAATTCAAGAAGTCCTTGTTTTTTACTGCTGAGTAGTACTCTAATATGTATATATTCCATACTTTCTTCATCCATTCTTCCATTGAAGGGCATCTCGGTTGTTTCCAGGTTCTGGCTATTACAAACAATGGCACTGGGTTTTGATTCTACTGCATGGACTGGCTTTTTGGGAGCCTAGTCTGTTTGGATGCATACCTTCCTAGGCCTGGATGGAGCGGGGAGGACCTTTGACTTCCCACAACTCAGGGCACCCTGACTTCTTTTAGGACTGGAGACTGAGGTGGGAGCAGGAGGGGTAAGTAGGAGGGAAATGGGAGGAGGGTAGGAAGTGGATATTTTTACTAAATAAATAAAAAATACTAAAAAAGATGAGGTATTGTTTGATTCTGCTTTGTATGTTGTGAATACAATTGGTTAATGGGTAAATAATCTGCCTTGGCCTGTGATAGAATAGACTATAGCTCGATGGGAAAAACTAAACTGAATGCTGGGAGATAGAAGGCAGAGTCAGTATAAGCCATGTAGCCCCACAGGAGACAGATACCAGATGGAGCTTTTCTCAGTAAGCCACAGCCTTGTGGCAATACACAGATTAGTATAATTGGGCTATATTAATATGTAAGAGTTAGCCAATAAGAAGTTAGAACTAATAGCCCAAACATTGATTTAAATAATATAATTTCTGTGTGATTGTTTTGGCAATCTGTTTGGCTAGGAAATGGAAAAGCAGTCTCTGTTACAACAAATCAACTTATATCATCCTGTAGAAAATGCAAATTCACATGGATCAAAGACCTCAACATAAATTCAGATAAATTGAATCTGACAGAAGAGAAAATGTGAATTAGTCTTGCAGGCATTGGAAAAGGAAACTACATAATGAATGTAACACCAGTAGCAGAGACACTGAGATCAAAAATCAATAAATGGGACTGTTTGAAACTGAACACCTTCTTTAAGGCTGTTAATATGGCAAAACAGCATCATACATAATGGTATATCATCACCAAATCCACATTTTACAGAGGACTGATCTCCAAAATATTTAAATATCTCAAGAAGGTAGACATCAAACTACCAAATTATCCAATTAATAATGTTGTACAGATTTAAAAAGAATTCTCAACAGAAGAATCTGAAATGAGTGAGATACACTTAAAGAGTTATCCAATATCCTTAGCTATCAGGAAAATACAAATCAAAATGACTCTGAGGTAGGCTCTTACACCTTCCAGAATGGCTAAGGTAAAAAACGCTAATGAGCTTTCCGCGCTGCCCCGGGACGGGTCCATATGGCGTTGTTCTTGGTTCCCGACGTAACTTAAAGGGAAACTTACACAATATCCGGAGCCCTTGATGTCCTGCAGATGAAGGAGGAGGATGTCCTCAAATTCCTCGCTGCAGGCACCTACTTAGGTGGCACCAACCTCGACTTTCAGATGGAGCAGTACATCTACAAAAGAAAAAGTGATGGCATCTACATCATCAATCTGAAGAGGACCTGGGAGAAGCTGCTGCTTGCAGCTCGGGCTATTGCTGCCATTGAGAACCCTGCTGATGTCAGCGACATCTCCTCCAGGAACACTGGGCAGCGAGCTGTGCTGAAATTTGCTGCCGCCACTGGAGCCACTCCGATTGCTGGCCGTTTCACCCCAGGGACCTTCACCAACCAGATCCAGGAAGCCTTCAGGGAGCCATGGCTTCTAGTGGTGACCGATCCCAGGGCTGACCACCAGACCCTCACTGAGGCGTCCTACCTGAACCTGCCCACCATTGCCCTGTGTAACACAGACTCACCTCTGCGCTATGTGGACATCGCCATCCCGTGCAACAACAAGGGAGCTCACTCAGTGGGCCTGATGTGGTGGATGCTGGCCCGGGAAGTACTCAGCATGCGTGGCACTATCTTCCGTGAGCACCCATGGGAAGTTATGCCTGATCTTTACTTCTACAGAGACCCAGAGGAGATTGAGAAGGAAGAACAGGCTGCTGCTGAGAAGGCGGTGACCAAGGAGGAGTTTCAGGGCGAATGGATTGCACCAGCTCCTGAGTTCACTGCTGCTCAGCCAGAGGTGGCTGACTGGTCTGAGGGGGTGCAGGTGCCCTCGGTGCCCATTTAGCAGTTCCCTACTGAAGACTGGAGTACCCAGCCAACCACTGAGGATTTGGTCAGCAGCTCCCACAGCGCAGGCCACCGAGTGGGTTGGAGCCACCACTGAGTGGTCCTGAGCTCCTCTGCAGTCACCTGAGCAAAGGGAAAAAAGGTGGAAGGAAAATAAAGTTCCTACAAGCTGTCAAAAAAAAAAAAGCGCTAACGACAGCTCATGTTGGAGAGGATTTGGAGTAAGGGGAACACTCCTCCACTGGTGGTACGAGTGCAATTTTTTTTAAAATTTATTTTTCCATTAAAAACTTTACACTTCCTCCCCTCCTCCCATCCCCTCCGGTTCCCCGACTCACCCTCCTTTCTCCTCCTCCTTCCTTAAGAGAGGGCAGGGAACCCTGCCCTGTGGGAAGTCCAAGGCCCTCCCCTCTACATTCAGGCCTAGGAAGCTTTGCATCCAAATAAACCGGGGTCCCAAAAAGCCAGTACATGCAGTAGAAAGAAGTCCCAGTGCGTTTATCAGTGGCTTCTCAGTCAGCCCCCATTGTCAGCCACATTCAGAGAGTTCTGTTTGATTGCTTGCTCATTCAGTCCTGGTCCAGCTGGATTTGGTGAGCTCCCATTAGATCAGGCACACTGTGTCGGTGGGTTGACCAACCCCTCTCGGTCCAGACTTCCTTGTTCATCTTCTCCCTTCTTCTGCTCTTCAACTGGACCTTGGGAGCTCAGTCTGTTGCTCTGATGAGAGTCTCTGTCTCTATCTCTTTGTCACCGGATGAAGATTCTATGGTGATATTTGAGATCAGTGTGATAGTGGGGCAAAACCAGTTCAGTCACCCTCTCCTATGCCGCCTAAGGACCTAGCTGTGGACATCCTTGTGGACATCTGTGATCCCCTCAGAGCCAAGTCTCTTGCCAACCCTAAAATGGCTCCCTTAATGTAGATATCTTCTTTCCTGCTCCTATATCTGCCCTTTCTCCATCTCTACCCTCCCATTCCCCCAAGCTCTCTCCAGTCTTGCTTTCTCCCTTCCCTCTCCCCCTCCTTCCTTCTCCCACCCCACACCCACCCCTACATTGTGGTAAATGTGGTACATTTACACTATAGAGCATTACTCAGTGATAAATAACAATGACATGAACTTTGAAGATAAATGGATGGAGCTGAAAGAAAAAAAATTCCCGAGTGAGGCCCAGAAAGACAAGAACAGTATGTACCCAATCATAAGTGGATATTAGATGCAAAGCAAAGGATAACTAAGCTATAATTCCCATCCCCAGAGAAACTAGATATCAGGAAGGACCACAAAAGGGACACACTTATTGCCCTGGGAGGGGAGATACATGAGATCTTCTGGGTAAACTGGGCATAGGCAATGGAGAGGAGGAGATGAGGAATGTGAACATGAAGGATCACGATGGTCGATTTGGGGGAAGGAGGACAAGGGAGAGCAATGAAAGTGATATCTTGATAGAGGGGACCATTATGGTGTTAGGGAGAAACCTGGTACAATAGAACCTCCCAGGAATCAAGGATGATCTCAGTAAAGGCTCCTAACAATAGTGGAGGGAGTACCTGAACTGAACTTCTATAATCAGATTGGTACCTACCCTAATTGTCATCATAGACACTTCATTCAGTAACTTACAGAAGCATAAGCAGAGATCCACAGGCAAGCCCTGGACTGAGCTCTGGGAGTCCAATTGAAGAATGGGAGAAGGGATTATATTGGCAAAGGGAGTCAAGATCATGATGGGAAAACCCAGAGAGACAGCTGACCTGAGCTTATGGCAGCTCATGGTCTAGACAAACAGCTAAGGGGCCTGCATGGGACAGACTGAGACCTTATGCATATGAATGACAGCTGTGTATTTGGTTCTATTGTGGGGTCCCTATATGTCACACCAGAACCTATCTATCCCTGTTGCATGGGCTGGCATGTTAGAATATTTCCTATGGTGGGATGTCACACTCTGCCTTAATGTAGGAGGGAGGAGCTTGGTCCTGCCTCATCTTGATATGCCTTGCTTTGTAGATTCCCATAGGAGGTCTTACCCTTTCTTAATGGAGATGAAAGTGGAGTACATGGGGGTAGACGGGGGGGGGGGGGGAGGGAAGGAATAGGAGTAGAGTAGGAAGGAGAAACTGTGGTTGGTGTATAAAATAAGTTTACAAATTTATTAAAAACATTTTTATGTGTATTATATTTTTGCTTTTAATCCAAACATTCAGGAGTCAGAGGCAGGTGGATCTTTATGAGTTTGAGGCCAGCCTCTTCAATCGAGCGATGCCCAGACTCCCAAAAAAATCACTCAGAAACTATATTGTTTAAATCACTGCTTGGCCAATAACTTAAGAATATTGCTAGCTAGCTGTTACATCTAGAATTAACCAATTCTTATTATTTTATATTGTACTACTTGGCTTGTGGCCTACAGGCAAGGTTCCAACCGGCAACTTGCATATTTTCACTCTGGCGGCTATGTGGTGTCTCTCTGACTCCGCCTGCTTTCTCTCTATATCTTTTCCAGCCTGGCTGTATTCTCTTAAACCATTGGCCGAAAACAGCTTCTTTCTTAACCAATAAAATCAACGCATATACAGAAGGCCTTAGCACATCACAAGGCTGCACAGAGAAACTGTGTCTTGAAAAACTAACAGAAAAAAGAACTAATAGAATATTCTCACCTTCAATTGTGTGTGCAACAGTGATTGTATAGTACGTTCAGCAGTATGCAGAGGGTACCAGAAGGTTAGGAAAAGAATTTCCAATCAAATGGACATTAGAAATAAGCTGGTGTAGCTATTCTAATAGCTGCCAAAATAGACTTCAAACTAAAATTAATCAAAAGAGATGAAGAAGCACATTTTATATGAGTCCATGAAGAAAACATCCATTAAGATGAAGTCTCAATTCTAAACATCTATGTCCCAAATACAAGGTTATGCACATTTGTAAAATAAACATTACTAAAGCTTAAATCACACATAAAAACCCCGCAGAAGTAGAATGGTGGGGCATTTTGGGAGTGATTTGGAAGTGTACTACAGTCAGATCTCTCTGGAATCTACAAGAGTCACCCTAAGAATCCTAGTAGTGAGGCATAAGTAAAACTGAACCAGCAATCTTCAACAACTACAGAAAACCTGTAGCAGTAAGACTGGGGCAACAATCCAGCCACGAAATAGCTGACCTACAATCTATTCTTCCTGAAATGTGTACTGGGGCAATGGGGGAACAGATTTTGTGTGATTGGTCTACAAATAACTGGTCCAAATTAAAGTTTATGCTTTGAGATCAAGTCCTGACTTGATACTGCCTTGGATGACTAGGAACCAGAGGCTGAACAGACAAGAAATTCAGGATAGAATCAAATATGACTCGGAAAACATTTCAATAAAATGATTACTAATGAAATTCTGTTATACTACTAGATCAGTGTTCAGCCTAAAATTCATCAGTGAGGCATCATCCAGCAACATATGGGAACAAATGCATAGACTTACTGCCAAACACTTGGCAGCGCCTGGGGAATCCGTAGAATAGAGGAAGGAAGAATTGAAGGAATCAGATGAATCAAGGACACCATGAAAATATGGAACAAAAAAACAATTGAGCAATGCTTATAAAGAATCACAGAGACCGAGGTGATAATCATTGATCTTACATGTTTTGAGCTAGGACCTTAGCATGTAAGTTATGGTAATGCAGATGGCTATTCTTCTGGAACTCTTTTTTTTTTTAATTGAGAAAAGGAAAAAAAAAAGTTTCCGCCTCCCCCCAGCCTCCCATTTCCCTTCCCCTCCTCACACCCTTCTCCCCCTCCCCCCACTTCTCTCCCTCTCCCTCTCCAGTCCAACGAGCAGTCAGGGTTCCCTGCCCTGTGGAAAGTCCAAGGTCCTCCCCGCTCTGTCCATGTCTAGGAAGGTGAACATCCAAACTGGCTAGGCTCCCACAAAGCCAGAACATGTAGTAGGATCAAAACCCGGTGCCATTATCCTTGGCTTCTCATCAGCCCTCATTGTTCGCCATGTTCAGAGATTCCAGTTTTAACCCATGCTTTTTCAGTCACAGTCCTGCTGGCCTTGGTGAGCTTCCAATAGATCAGCCCCACTGTCTCAGTGGGTGGGTGCGCCCCTCATGGTCTTGACTTCCTTGCTCATGTTCTCCCTCCTTCCACTCCTCATTGGGACCTTGGGAGCTCAGTCCAGTGCTCCAGTGTGGGTCTCTGTCTCTATCTCCATCCATCACCAGATGAAGGGTCTATGGTGATATGCAAGATATTCGTCAGTATTGCTATAGGATAGGGTCATTTCAGGTTCCCTATCCTCAGCTGCCCAAGGAACTAACTGGGGACATCGCCTTGGGCTCCTGGGAGCCACTCTAGGTTCAAGTCTCTTGCCAACCCTAAGGTGGCTCCCTTAACTAAGAATTGTGCTTCCCTGCTCTCCTATCCAACCTTCCTTTATCCCAATCATCCTGTTTCCCTAAGTTCCCCCCATCCTCCCCTTCTCAGTTTTCTCTCCCCATCTACTCTAACCCCCATCCCACACCACCCCCAAGATCTCAATTTTCTTCCCAGCAATTTTGTCTACTTCCCATAGCCAAGAGGATAACTATATGTTTTTCCTTGGGTTCACTTTCTTTTTTATTTAAACATATTTATTGATTTATTATGTATACAATATTCTGTCTGTGTGTATGTCTGCAGGCCAGAAGAGGGCACCAGACCTCATTACAGATGGTTGTGAGCCACCATGTGGTTGCCGGGAATTGAACTCAGGACCTTTGGAAGAGCAGGCAATGCTCTTAACCACTGAGCCATCTCTCCAGCCCAGGGTTCACTTTCTTATTTAACTTCTTTAGGTTCAGCAATTGTAGATTTCGTGACCCTTATTTATGGCTAGAAACCAATTATGAGTGAGTACATCCCATGCTCATGTTTTTGGGTCTGGGTTACCTCACTCAGGATAGTGTTTTCTATTTCCATCCATTTGCATGCAAAATTCAAGAAGTCATTGTTTTTTTTACCACAGCATAGTACTCTAATGTGTATATATTCCACACTTTCTTCATCCATTCTTCCATTGAAGGGCATCTAGGTTGTTTCCAGGTTCTGGCTATTACAAATAATACTGCTATGAACATAGTTGAACAAATGCTTTTGTCATATGATAGGGCATCTCTTGGGTATATTCCGAAGAGTGGTATTGCTGGGTCTATTGTGTTAGGAGCGGCAGGCTACTTTCCCGGCAGCCGGCCGCCCACATGGCTAGCTCTAGCTTATGCCCCGAAATAATTACACGGAAACTGTATTCTTTTAAACAGTGCCTGACCCATTAGTTTCAGTTTCTTATTGGATAGCTCTTACATATTGATCTAACCCATTTCTATTAATCTGTGTATCCCACGAGCTGGCTTACCAGGAAAGATCTTAACCTGCCTCTGTCTGGAGTGGGAGAACCATGCCGACTCCCTGACTCAGCTTCTTTCTCCCAGCATTCCGTTCTGTTTACTCCGCCTACCTAAGGGTTGGCCTATCAAATGGGTTTAGGCAGTTTCTTTATTAATAAGAAATCACTCCCACATCATGGGTCCAGGGGTAGGTTGATCCCGAATTTCCTGAGAAACCGAAACACTGATTTCCAAAGTGGTTGCACAAGATTGCATTCACACCAGCAATGGATGAGGGTACCCCTTCCTCCACAGCCTCTCCAGCAAAGCCTATCATTGGTGTTTTTGATTTTAGCCATTCTGACAGGTGTAAGATGATTTCTCAAAGTTGTTTTGATTTGCATTTCCCTGATTGCTAAGGAAGTTGAGCATGACCTTAAGTGTCTTTTGGGCATTTGAACTTCTTCTGTTGAGAATTCTCTGTTCAGATCAGTGCCCCATTTTTTAATTGGGTTAATTAGCATTTTAAAGTATAGTTTCTTGAGTTCTCTTAAAGGTAGAATAGGAAGACACCATTGACTCTTTTGCATGCCCTTGGACCCCTATCTTCCTACAGGATTGCCATTCCCAGCTCTGATATGAGGGATGGTGGCAAGTTTAGTATAACTTGATATGCAATGTTCTGTGGATATCTCTGGAAGCCTGCTCGTTATTTAAAGGCAAAGATGAGTGGCTCCGAGGTAGAGGTGAAATGAGGTCTAGGGAGAGGTGCAGAGAAGGGAACTGTGTTGGTGATGTAATATGAGAGAATAAAAAAGGAAAGAAATACATATCAACAAGAAAGAAGACTCAGGTGCAAGTTCCCACTCTGAATGCCACTTTCAGGGTGAAAACAGTGTGATCTGCCCTTAGGTGAAGCATGCTACATCTGTGCATTTAGAAACCAGCGATGTCCACAGTAAATCATGGACAGTCCATTCTCCTGTCTTTACTCTTTCTCACTTCACATGGATAAATGGTGTGCAGGCAGCACTGGATTTAGGTGAGTTAAAAAAAATGTATGTGAGCATACAAGAAGGTGTTTTTCTCAATGAAAACAATGCACCAATTTCTAAGCAGACTCCAAGCATCCAAAGTTTGAGGGCTCCTGAAATTAGTTTCCATGAGTTCTGAGGGATCACAATATATTTGACCCGTAACAAAAGTTCTTAAAGTCTTTGGATTTTTGTTTATCATATTGCTGTCTTTATTTTCCTTTTAAGACAACATCAATTTATTCCTGGTCTTTCCTTATACCCATGTATATCCCAGTATTATAGGTATGAGTCAGCATACTGGCTGTATCTGAGTAGTAACTAATCATTTTCAACACCTAGTATGTCTCCATTTTGTACCCCATTGATAAAGAAATATCTATACTCTGGTATGGGATGAGAGCAGCGGTCACTCACTTATGATGACCCCAGGAAACTGGGAGACTGGTCTTTGAACTGACTTGGTTGGAGACCTCACACTTGTATTCTCCAGCATCCTCACTCCTGACAGGATCTATTTTGAGTCCACACTTTGTAGGAGACAGAGTCATCCTCTCTGTGAGCTGAAGATTCTTCTCATTGAAGATCCAACGGATGGAGACATCAGTGTCAGGTGAAATGCAGGTGAAGATCACAGATGTACCTCCAGAGACTGTGGTGTCAGTGATTCGCACAAAGGGCTGTGTCACATTCTCTGTGAAGAAACAGAGGAGAATACCAAATGACAGTAGTCCACAGAGTAAACCAGACCCTCTTTAGTTCACACTTTCTAAAACATCCAGCGGGGAGAATTTGGAGCTGTGACTATAGACATAACTTGTGGTTTGGATTTGCCACTCAGGAACTGTTTTTCCCAGATTTAGGCACTGTTTTCTGTGTCTCAGTTTCCCTGTAATAGAACACATAGTGGCTGGTCATTGCTGTGTTCATGAGTTGAACTTAGTTATGAGCAATGATCTGAACTTGGGGTCGGGGGGCTGCTCACATTAGCAGCATCTGCTACTGTTTTCTTGCAGAAGAGAAGTCCCTAGGTTGGATCCCTCAGGGTGAGGGATCTGGAGCAGCTGCCTCCTCAGTTTCTTCCCTTTGTGCCTTGACCTTCCTGTGAAGTCTCATCAGCCCACCAGAGTAATAGGCTAATGGCCCAGACACCTTCCCACTGAATCTCAGAAGGAGTTGCACAGGTGACCTACCCAACTGCAGCTCTCATGGCAGTAAACAGCTGATTCTACACTCTATGGGACAGTCAGTAAAGCCTTGTTCCTGTTGATTGTAACAGGAAATCTAACCAAAACAGTGACATAAACTTTCCACTGTCACCTACTGTTCAGCCAGAGGCAAAGTTTTGGAGTCCAGGCTGACAGCCTCTGTGAGGACCCCATGGTTTAACTATTCAGGAACTGCCTGACCCCCTCTTTCTGAGGACATGTGCATGGTAAGAGCTGCAGTTGACATCCTGGGACTGAGTTTACATAGCACAGTTCCTCCTTTCTGTATGGAAAAGCAAGTGTGGGTTCTGATCTATTACAGTTTTTTTACCCAGTGTGTGTCCTGCAGTAGAGACCCAAACCCCACTCGGCGTGGGGACACAATGCAATGCAGGAGAGTGCAGTAACAGCCCAATCCTGACAGGTTAGTGTATGAAGTGGGATCAGACACTTTAAGCTCTTGGAGACCATAGAGAGTCACTTACTCTTTATAAAAAATTCCCCGTATTGTCTTGTAATTTTGAAATCTTTGCCCAAAACTATTAGTGTGTAGATTCCTGCATCTTTCTCAGTGAGATCCCGGAGTATCAGAGATCCATTACTGTATAAGGTTTTTCTGATTCTGTGTTCAGGCCCCCAGGAGATGGAATTTGTGGCTCTGTTGTATTTTACAATATGAAGGGTTGGAGCTCTATACGTTGCTCTGTGCCAGGAAAAGGCTTTCATTTCTTCTGGAAGATTATAAACATGGAGAACTACATCTTCCCCTTCAGCTGCATCGCGAGGCACCGGTTGGATCATGAGTTGGGAAGCAGTGAAAGGGTTGCAGAACTGAGAATGGGGAGCTGGGAGGGAAAAGAGAAAAAAGCCATCACATGGGGATCATTGTGCTTTGTGAAAAGATGGTGAACTCCATCCTGAGCAGATGGATTCATCACTTACCCTAGAGTTCCAGGTATGTGTGTTTCTCTTCCTCTTAAGGAAGGGCTGAATCATGACCTCCTTCTTTCCAACAGTGCCCCTGCATGTGTCATGTCCTCTGTGGAACAGTCTCTTTGGGTGTCTACATGGCTGCTCCCTCACTGCCCTTAGTCAGATACTGTACAGACTCATGAACACTGACATTTAAGATGATGCTTCCCCAGAACTCAACAAGCCTGGATCTTTCGCTTTCTAGGTGATTTCTTCTGTTTCTTTGAAGCAACACTCAACCCCTGACATCACCTTATAGAAGCAATTCCTGTTGTGCCATATAGCCCTTAGGTCTGGGACTATATGGGGGCTTGCAGCAGTCTGATCTTCAAGGCAGGCTACATTCTTTAAAGGCTTGACCACTAGGCTGATTTTTTTATATCAGCTTGACACCAGCTACAGTCATTTTTCAAGAAAAGAACTCAGTTGAAAATGCCACCACCAAATTGGCCTTCGGGCATAACTTTAGTACTGTTTTTAAACTTGGGCTGATGTAAGAATTTAGACCAATTCAGTCAGTTTAAGCCCTGGGCTGGGACTCCTGGGTGACATAAGAGAGCTGATTGAGCAAGCAAGAAGGGCAAGCCAATAGACAGCACTCCACTGTGGTCTCTGTACCAGGTCCTGGATTTTAGTTATGACAATCTCAGTTGTAAGCTAATAAATACCACAGCTTGACATGGGATTCTAACACCATTGTTCCCTATCAGTTTTGAAAGAATTAAGAGAAGAACAATAGAAAAATGTTCTCCTGGGTGAGTTCGCTCCAGTGTTGAAAAGATGACAGTACTCAGGGCTCCCTAGTCTAGAGCTCCAAGAGAGTGGGCTGAGGCTGACATCTTAGGCTGAGTTACTTTCCATCAAGGTCTTCCTTGATGCAGGTGGAGTCAGATGACGGAAGCTGATCTATGGCCATTTGGCTCTACCAGTGTGTCCTTCACTAAGTGCTCAAACCTCAACATGGGGACCTAGAAGAGATGCTAGGCCAGCCATGACAGTCGTGTGTGTCTAAGCCCCAGCTAAGCACCGAACAATCACAGGGAATCACTTACTGTCCACCTGGAGTTGCACTTGTGTGTATTCACTTCCCGCATCTGTTCTCAAGATTCGTAGCGTGTACAATCCAGAGTCTTTCTGAGTGACACGATTAAGCAGCAGGGATCCATCACTGTGCAATGTCTCTCTGCCACTGTATGCAGGTCCCCACACAGTTGCTTTCATATCTTGTATTAACCGGGTGGCCACAATATTCTTGAAGTTAGCACTTCCCTTGAACCAGACAAAGCCTAAAATATTCTCTGGTGGATTGTGAACGAGTAGAACAACATTTCCCCCTTCAGCCACGCATCGTGGCACTGATTCAATGGTGGGCTGGTCAGAGGTAGCAAGGCGTCCGCACTTCCAAAGGAAAGCTAGCAGGAAGATAGAGATCCATTGAAACTGGAAGTTTTGTATTTGACTACGATATGGCATTCTGTATTGAGCAGCTGTGTCCCTTGCTCAGCCTAGGTTTCTAGGTGAGTTTCTCTCTTTCCTACCCAGCTGACTGTTCACACTTACAGTGTTAGGGCGATGCATGCCCAACCTCTTCCATAGACCCGGTGTCTTCACTCTCTGGCTTTATTGCTGCTCTGTTCCTCTTGGGCCTATAGCCAACACCTGAGTTATGAATTCATTTTCCAGCTTTTTTTTAACTTCAAGTTAACTCAAACTGGGACATCATCATAAGAAGCACAAGTCGTCTTGGCTTTCTTCTGTTCATTTGTCTGAGTTTGTCAGACAATGAAGCAAATGCCTGTTTATATTGGATCATGTTAGTGACCAACACCAGCTTGAATTTTTATTCATACCATCATGCTGAGAACATCAGTACTCAGAATATTGTGGTCATGAATATGAACTTGATGGAAGAATAATGTCTCCCCCACTCTTACTGTTTAATATTCTATGAGGATATCTTAATGCTCAGCCTCTCCCCCACTCTGCATCTTCTGCCCTACAAATACCGAGGCTCCTCTCATGTCCTTGTGCCACTCAGGAGACTCCACAGTATGTCAGTCCCTCCTCGCACACACTGGTCTCATCTGTGAGAAGAAGCCCTGGCATGTGGTGACCTTTTTCAGAGGAGTACAGAGAGGACCACCATTGTCTCAGTCATCTATCTGTCTCTATGAGGAACTTCTGCTCCACCACAGCTCCCAAGCTCTGCTGTTCTTCCCCCTTCTCAGCTGAGTCTCTTCCAGAAAGGAGCTCCTCCCAGAGTCTTATGGGCTGAGGGTGGATGATGTGTTTTCAAGCACTGCCCTTGTGGTTTCAGTGCTGCCCCACGTTCCTTTCCCATTCTCTCCTCTAGAACAGAGTGAGAGTCAAGGCTACTGACCATCCCTGTGAGGAGAGATAATAGCAGCTGACTCAGGAACTGCACTCTGCTGTGTGCTGGTCTAGGCTCTGGCAGCTTGAAAAATGGAAAAATCTGCATAACTGTGTGACAAAGAAACCCAGCTGGGCATCCAATCTGCCTCGTTTTCAATTCTCTGGAAACCTGGAATTTCCTCTCGGCAGGAAGGTGATAAAACTACCCTTGAGGTACAAAGGGACCAGGTGTGTGTTGTGTGCAGAAAAAATGAATCTATTCTCCCTAGACTGACTATCACACTAGGTTCTGACCGAGGTCAAAGGTATAGGATGTGTCATTTGTAATGAGTCTCACATCTTTGGTGTGTGGGAAGAGGTGATTCTGGGAAAAATGCTGCTAGATCCTTCAACCTGTGGATGATTTTCGACATGATTCTCCCACTTCCTCTGATTGCTGAACTGTATAATGGGTTTGCCCATGTGATCGATGGTCTTTCTGAGAGACCTTGAACCTCTGTCTAGTTTCTTCCCGATGGATACCATGGGATTCCCACAGGGAACACATGAAGTGGGAAGAGAGAACATGGTCTCCTAGTAGTGTAGCAGACACATTAAATAACCAGTAGCTCTGAGAATGTTGAGACAATGATTTTCTGGTCTATAAAGATGTGTGGAACCAGGTTACTAGGGTAGTTCCTGGTTCAGGCAAATATTTTTCTGTCAGTTCATTGTGTACCCTGATGATCACCAGGGGAACTACAGCTCATGTCTGCAAAGCTGTCAGATCAGCGTAGCCTGTAGCCATTTGCCTGAAGGAGAGAATTCCCCTAGTTGAACCTAGAGGACAGGCCCTTGTAAGAAGAATCTGTGTCCTGAGTCACTCCTCTTGGGGACCACAACCTTCATGTGAAATCTCACATGCCCAACGGGACAGTTAGCCAATGGCCTGAACACCTGTTGAGCTATGTTTACCCACTGACTCTCTGAAGAAGATGGCCAAGGGATGAAACCCAGCCAAGGCTCTCAGGACAATGCACTCTCTAATCCCTCACTTCACAAGACATCGACTACCACGGAACACTTTTCCCTGCCATCTAAAAGCCAAAATCCTACACTTAGAAAATGCTCAAGGACACCTGGAGTTGAGTCTTGGACAGAGATCTTGAGCCAGGGCGTCCTGGTGCTCACATTTCTGAGGATTCTATGTTTTCCTCCACCAGGTACAATGCTAATTCCCTCAAAGTCTTTCTCAAGGAAACAAACCTGTGAGAATCCCTAGACTCTAGACAGAGGCTGTATCTTTGGCTGAGTTACCTACTATACATCCACCTGTGTCAAGTGAAGTCAAATGAAGGATCCTGATCTCTTGTCATTATTCTCCACCATTTGTTTCCCCACATTAAATGTTCAAACCCAACCATGGGGATACAATGCACAGGGAAGGCAGGTAAGCAGAGACCACTCTCCTGTATGTGTCCAGTGAAATGAACCTCACCTAGCTCACAAAGTTCTCAATGAATAACTTACCTTGCACGTAGAGGTACATGGTTATTGTTGATACAAATTTTCCACCTCTATCATAGGTTCGTAGGGTATAGAATCCTGCATCCTTCTGGGTGACCTTTTCAAGAAGCAGGGATCCATTGTGATATATTGTCTCTCTCCCGCTGTGCATAGGACCTGGCTTACTTAATTTTTCGTTCAGTACATACACTGCAATTTGTTGTTTCTTATTTCCCAGCCCTTTGAACCAGGCTACAGCTTTTATTTCCTCTGGCATATTTTGGACGAGGAAAAGGACATTATCTCCTTCAGCCACTGGAGTTGGCAGTAATTCAATGGTCACATTGGCAGTGGAAGACAGGTGCCAGGAGGTTAAAAGGGAGGCTAGAAGGGAATTGAGAGAAACCACCAATATTAAAGAAGTATGATCATTTCTCTGTTTGGTGAGTAAGTAGGACTGTGCCCACCCTATTTAGTAGACAGGAACAACATGACTTCCATTGACTCAGAGTATCTCAGTGTGCCATTAACTCTTTCAGGTATTCTCTGCTCAGGTGTCTTTTTAGTTCCCCCTCAGTGTCCATCATCTCTCTTCACGTACCGTATATTTTTTCCATTCAAAAATTTACACTTCCTTCTCTCATTCCATTCCCTTCCTGCTCCCCCACTTAACCGTCCTCCTTTCTCTTCCCTCCTTAAGAGAAGGCAGGGAACCCTGACCTGCAGGAAGTCCAAGCCCCACCGACATGCCATAGAGTATTTGTTGCGAGGAGCAATGCCTCTCTGAACTCCTCCTCTGAAGACTCCACACTTTCTGATTTTTTCTCTGATCCCTTTGTGACTCTCGTCAACCCACGGTTTCCCATTGGATATACTGACATCAGGTTTGAGAACCAGGACATTTTTATTTTTTATTTTTGTTTTATGAGACAGGTTTTATCTGTGTAGCTTTGACTGTCCTGGATCTGGCTATATAGACCAGGCTGGCTTTGAACTCACAGAGATCACCTGCTTCTGCCACCCGAGTGCTTGGATTAAGGGCTGAAGCAGAACTGCCAGTTCAGAACCAGGGACTTATAAAGACAATATTATTCTGAATTTTTTGGAAGGTTCAGTTCCTAGAAAATAATCAGAAATAAATAAAGAAAAAAATGGAAGGAAGGAAAGAGGAATGTGTCTCCATGAATTTCTCTTTATAGTTCCTATGTTTGGGACTTATGACAGTACTTATATTTCAGTGTGAAATAAATGATTTTAGATTTACTAATTTAAATATATGTGTGCATTTGTGCAGGCTGGTGTCTTCTTGTGTACATATGAAGATGTATGCCAAAAATCTGTGTGAGGCCACATGTTCCAGGGTGTATATATGTGAGTTCTAACCAGAGCTCGAGCCTATGTGGATGGAAGATAGAGCCTGCAGGAACCTGTTCTCTCTGTCTACTGTGTGGGAGCAGAGGATTAGTTTCAGGTTACCGTATCTCCACACACTGAACCATTTCACTAGCCCTCCCCTGTTTGATTTCTTTTTGGAGGGCCATACTGTCACAGTGGGAACATCTGTCTTCAGAACATTACAGCCAATGAAATTCACTGTGAATATGAAGTGCTTCAGGCTTTTCTCTTGTCATCATCACCTCCTATCCTCTGAGAGCTTCTGGATGGTGAGCCTCTGCCCCTCACTGTACCTTCTGCTCCATGAGTGCACACAGATACCTTGAGTCTCCTCTCAACATCTTGGACTCTTTAGGAGGCTCCATCCTGCTTCTAAGTTCCCCTTCCAACAGAGTCAGAGAGTAGATACCATTACCTGTGAGCAGAAGCCTCTCCCAGAGGGTACACCTCTTGTAGAGAAGCACAGAGAACTCCATCAGTCTTCTCACTCGTTGTTCTCCCTCTGAGAAAAATCTCAGCTCCAACACAGAACTCAGGCTGTGCTGTTCTTCCTCCTTCTGCTCTGAGATTCTTCTCAGACAGGAGACTGTTACAGGATCCAATGGGATATGAGTGGTGGGGTTCGAGTCCAAATCAATGCTCAATCCCGTCCACTCTCAGTGTTGCCCTGCATCTCACTCAACTTCCCTTTATGCTTCTTCTCCAAGCAACATATTGAGCAACAAGGCTGATAAGCATCCCTACGCCCTCAGGAACAATGACTCATCCCAGGGCTGATACATGCTGTGTCCTTGCCTTGGGTCTGTCAGCACCAAAGAGGGAGCTTCCATCTTGTCTATGTGTCCATATGATACAGAGACCAAGCTGAGCACCCAGCCTACCCTGTGTTCTCAATGCTCTGGGAAGATGGTATTTACTTAATTCTTGCAAGTAGTTGACAGAAATGTCTCTGAGGGCTGGAAAGAGGCAGGCTGAGTGATGACTAGGGATGAAGATCAATCCTTTATCACTAATGTCACCAATCACATTAATGATCTAGAAGAGAGGCCCAGGGACAGTTGTGTGAGGAATTTCATGTGCTCAGTGTTGGGGATGAGGTGACCTGTGTGTCTTTGAAGGGACTATGGGATCCTTCATTCTATGTTTCAGGACAACATTTTTCCATTATGTGTCGGATTTGCACGCGTCCTCTCTGATTTTCCTGGGTCACCTTTGCTCTTTCCTAGATGACCCCTTGGTTGTAATCAAGTCTTCCTCTATGAGAGAGGACAGGAGGGAGGAGACATTCACAGTACCCATGCATAAAGGTGTTGTCAGACAAAGGAAGGATACAGTAGGTCAGAAAATGGTCTAGGGAGGGAGTTCAAGGTTAGCAGGGACAGAGATGGAAGTCAGTCTGCTCAGGGAAAAAATTCTCAGAGCGTTGAGAATATGCCCTTCTAACATCCCCTGAAGATCACTGGAAGAACTGTAATTTCATGTCTAGACCTACAGCAAGCAAGGTCAAAGAACCAAGAACAAAGAACTTCCCTGATACGTTCAGCATAGGTAGTGTGCAGGGAACATCACTCTAATCTTTGTCCTGTTCAGGACTTCTAATTTCTTCTTCTGTAGGATGGGTATAGACAGGGTTTCAGATTTGTCCTGGTAAGACCAGGACTAACATTGGAAGTAGTGTGAATCCAGAGGATGGGCATTCTCAGGAGGAGCCTTGTGCTCAGGAAATTTTGAAGGAAAGTCCTAGGATACTTCTTTTGAGGTTAGAAGGACAGGACACAGTTGTGCAGTACAGTGAATGCCTTTAATCCCATCATCACTCAGGAAGTAGAAGCAGGAGAATCTCTTCCAGCTAGCCTGGTTATGGAACAAGTTCCAAAACATTTGGTGTTACACAGAGAATTCCCATCTGGTTAAAAAAAAGGAGAGGACACTTTTGTAGGGGGCTGCACCTGCGCTTTCTGGCCAATCAATGTTGTCTAAATCCTACCATCTCTTTCTAAATTTACCTTCTTGCCTAGAGGGTGCCGAGGGGGTTTGCTCTTGAGTACAAATCACTTTGATTCAAATAGTCGTTTCTTCCCTATACACTGTTCTATGGTTCTTTCTCTTGGGGTGATAAAAACACCCGGAAAAAAGCATTTTAGGAGAGAGAAAATTCCATTTCCCTGTTGGAGTTGTTTTATATTTTAACACTAAAGGAAGTCAAGGTAGAAAACATGTTGCTTGCTGGCTCATTCACTGGCTCACACTCTGGATCATGCTTAGCTCATTTCTTTTACAACCAAGGACCATCTGCCTAAGAATGATGTTGTTTCAGTGGTTTGTGCCTCCTATATCAATTAGGACAATCACTCACAGAAATATACAGCCTGACCTGATTTGGTTGAGACTGTTATTTGTTATTTGTTTGTTTTTGCATCCTGACCACAGTTTCCCCTCCTTCCTCTCCTCCCTGAAGCATGATTAATAAAATCTCAGAGACAGAAACTATGGTTCAACATGAATGTCAGAAAAGCAAAGTACCCAGCCACTGGCTCTTACCTCTATCTCAGTCCCAAACGGCAATCTTGCCCTCAGGAATCTCAGAATAAGACCGAGCCTAAGAGCTGTCTCTCACATTTTATAATCCTCTCTAGTTCTGGGATTAAGAGTATGCAGCACTACTGCCTGGTTTCTATGGCAAGCTATTGTGGCCACTGGGATTAAAGATTTTTGTCATTGCTGCTTTGTCTGTAATGCTGCCCAGTGTGGATCCTTGGGCAAGCTTTACTTATTAAAACATGAATGAAATGCCACTACATTTTCCCTTTCTGTCTAAAACAAAAAAGAGTGCTATAACCAATATAAGAAAATCTATATACAATAAGCACAATGACTACATGCATTATCTACAGGAAATAAATATGTCAACAATATCTAGTCCATTTGCACTTGACAAATTCAGAGAAATACTCCATATCTATATGATTTTGTTGAGTCCAAAGTCTTGTACCTAATTCACTTTCTATCATAACTTGGTTTCTGTGCCAGGTAAACAAGAAGAACTATAATTATATAATCTTCAAATCCCTCAGAGACCCAAGAAGGAAACAATATTATGTGCATAAATAAGAAGTGCATTGTAAGCAACTTTCAAAGTTCTAGAAAAACCAGAGCTATCTTGCTGCCTGGACAGTCACCCAAAGTTTTGTGTAATGTTGGGGCATCCATCTTCAGTCTATAGGCCCATAATATCCGGGAGACTTTTCAGAGAAGCAGGAAATTTGAAGTTCTGTTCTTCCTTGTACTGACAAAGTTCATCCGCTGCTTTCATCCTGCAGAATGTCTGGCATTTTTTTTTTTCTGTGAATCACGAACCCTGAGGGACCGTTTTGTCTTTTGGAAAGTATAGCAGTCACTTTTCTGTAGGTCTTACAAATCCAGTTCATAGATTATACCATTAAGCAATCAAGGCAAGAGCAATTTCTTTGCCCAAATTGCTATCCTAGTCACAAGTTTCTTCAATGCCCATCAAATTCTCTGAAATAATTGTTGCTGCCAAAAGGAGACTTGTCTCATTGTCATAAAAATGAAACAATGCGTTATTAAAACATTTTAAATGCCATATTCTGTATATATCTGAAGTGTTTGAAGATGATATATCTATCTAAAATATATCTTTGTTTGACCTTGAAAACATACCTAATGTGACAATTTTGATTATACTAGGTGATTAACTACTAACCCACATCTCCTTATTATCCTAACCAGTTGGTAATAATAAGTTTCAAGGACTAGAAATTTGTGTTACATTATTAATTGAGTTGTATAGGTATTATACCTTGAACAAGATTAGAAATGTATGTGTTACCTATACCCTGAGATCTCAGAGAAACTTTGGAGCACAGGCTGCAACTACACACAATGGTCCAAGAGCTGAGTGATCAGTTAGTCAGCTCGGTACCCCATTCTATAAACCCTCGGTTGCTGAACACAACCCCAGGACCATTCCCTACCTGCATCAGCTTCATTACGCAGCCAGCAGGCAAGCTTCCTGCAGTAGGTCTCTGTTTCTGTCTCCATCAGTTGCTGGATGAAGACTCTATGGTGACATTTAAGATAGTCATTGATCTGACTACAGAGCAAGACCAGTGAACTCATCCTCTCCATTATTACTTAAGGTCTTACCTCCCCTCAGGTTTCAGAACAGGATACTTACACCAAGCAAAACTGGCTAGAAGGGGTCTGAGGTTGAACAAATCAGCTCAAACATGTTTCCTCCTCATATCTGTTTATTCTTCAATAAAGAGTTCCCATTCCCCTCAAGGTTTTCAGTTTATATACATGGACAGACACAATTAGCAATCATTTAGTCAATAGCAATGATACCAATCATGGATTTCACATTCCAGGAAGACAGATAAATCTGACAAAGTGGGTGCCTGTTAGCTTACTATGTCTCAGAGGAGGCATGACTGAAGCTCCCCTGTAGTTACTGCGAGAATTAATTAAGGATTGGGACTTTAAATCAGTCAAGAATTCTACGAAGAGGAAAAATGAGGGATTTCATTTACTAACTACGTTTCCTAAGTGTAACTAGTTAAGCTAGAAGTTTGTAATTAATAAATGCAGTAAAACGAGAGATGAATACTTGGCAGTGCCATTGCACTTTCTGAGTTCTTCTGCTTCCTTCTGCTGCAGCTCAGGAAACAACTTTATGGTAACTATGGCAACCAACATGAATCATGGGAATAAAGCTATGATGCTTGATTTGCATTGGAATTTTTGCTAGCTGAATTAAAGGGAATTTCTTTGCGCTAGGTCAAGGTGAAAGCTGAAGCTATTTAGAATCCAGAGACTGACTTTTCCAGACCCTGGTTAAGTGGCAAGGTGCCTGTTGGTTGCCATGTGAAAAGGAATTTCTTTTTCTGGAGCTGGCTTAGTGATCCAAGCTTTTCTCCTATATTTCTAGGGGTAAAGGCACAAACAGTTAATTTCTTAGATTAATATCTTGTGTCAAATGAAACTGAGGTAAAAATCAGTACAGAATATTAATAGCTTATAGGGTAGAACAAAGGTCAATAGGTTAATTCTCCTGAGTCAGCTGCTAGAGAATTCAGGGCTGCCCAGGCCTGCTTATCAATAAGGGCAGCCATGCTGTCTTCTAATCAGTGCCTGTCTTTTGAGGTTCTCATGTGGTCTATTTGCAAAACTCCTCTCCTTGTCAGATGTCCTGCAATAAAGGATAATTGTGGGTAACTATTTTTATATAGATTTGACTATGAGAACAAAGGTTTCTTTGATTGGGTGAATACTTTTACTTCAAGGCTCTACAGTGCGAGAAAAGTTCATCCAGCTACCAGTACATAAAAAGTTATGCTCAATGAATGATTAATTACATTGCTGAGGATTTTTTGGAATGAAGCCCTCTATGGAAAGGGAGGTACACTATGATTTAACAAGGGTAATTTCATAAATGACAGTGACAGGTATTCAA